TTTATTAGTCTACGTCTATTAGTTTCGACGTAATTGTTGAACAAAGATACCCCTTCCCAGCGGTTTCCATAGCGCACGCGACATGCGAAAATGCACTGCCTGAAAGAATCACACAACCTATTCCGATTACTATGGAAACCGCTGGGAAGGGGTATCTTTGTTCAACAATTACGTCGAAACTAATAGACGTAGACTAATAAATTTACATTCGTTTTGTAGAATAGCTCAAATACTAATAATACAATGCAAATAAAACATACCTTAACGACCTGGTTTTTCTTGTGTTGGAAAATAACTGAAAAAGAAGTGAAAAAAGTCATGTTTTTTTCTAATTAAATCCATTCTTACTCCCTTAAAATGTATGAAACTTGTATCTGTTTTCTACTTCTGCTAATAGATAATTTTATTGGCTATCGCATGATATAAAATTTTTGCTTATTAGTGTTAAGCTACCCACGCTTTCACTTGTTTTTGAAGGAAGAGGTGAAAACTAAAAATTAAAAACTTAAATCCTCGTAATTTTACGAGAAATGGGTCAAGCCCCAAATTTGAAGTATTTTCATCGATAAAATTGTCCATAGATTACGCCCTTAAAGTTTGATCACTACAAGCCCGGACACACTGTATAGACAAACCAAGATGGTGTAAATCGGACCTTGGTCCCCGAGCATAACACCCGCTCGGAAGGAAGCACTAACATCTAGCTTCCTTATTGTGGACGAACATCATATCCCACAATGTGCAAATAAAAAGAAACCACTTTATTCCAGCCAAACTCGAGTATATTTCCACTTACACACTTACACTTCAATTACTCAATATTCAACTCACAATAATTATTATAACAGCTATCGGACATAGATTCGTCAAGTGGTCTGAGTTCTATCGAAGCTAACAGAGTAATGATTCTGAGTGAGCCCTAGGCCTACAACAAGCCTCTCTATCCCCTCCACATTACCACTTCCTTGCCAAACAAGATTAAAGTGTGTTGCCACTTTTTAACTTTCAAATATATACTAAAATCGTAACATTTTTTTAAATTCACTAAAATAATAACAATATTTTCTAAAAATCATGACACAAACTTGACTTGTGAGTGTTGGTAGAGTCGATTCGATGTCAAATAATTTGTTGAAGAAAAAGATGTCACAGGCCAAATAACAAAATTTTTCGTAGTCTCTAATTTCGGGTGTGTAATTTCGGGTCGGGGTGTAGTTTAAAACTTTTAACTACGAATATCAGTCAATTTTATTATGTTATATATGTAGGTATGTTTTCATGCTTCAGCCCATCATAGGTCATAAAGTAATGAGGCAACGTTAAGTATTCGGACAAGTAAGCCGTCATAAATGTCATTAAGTACCTGGAGCCTAGAAGTGATACTAAGCTACTGACACTGTTTATGACGCTATTATTACACCTATATAATAAATAGATGAATTTAAAACAAAGCATAACAAGAGATTTATTATGAGGGCAATGCGGTTTGTGGGGATACTATGGGATATATCACGTGTGCCGCTAACTACCTGCCAGCGATATTTATTGCATTATCGCTGAAAAGGCTGAAAACAAAGGGGATGCAGTATGGCCGGAAGAGCACACGCTGTAGATAATATTGGTTGCTGCCAGTTATTAGCATTGTGGTTATGGCTCTAATCTAGCCACTATTTGCAAAGTAACCCTGTAGATATTATGTTCGATTATGTACGGGATTTGTGGCTGAAAACTGGTGTTTTGTTATTACACTGAATTTTAGATGGTCAGCTCTTTTTTATTACCACCATAATACTGTTATAGATCCATTTATTAAGCGTTGTAAATTAACTTGATTTAGACAGATTAAGGAGTTTTGATTAGGTTAAAACTCAAAGTAAGCTAACAAAAAGTTAGTACCATAATAAACTATTACGGTGTTAAGGCGATTAGTGTCCTCAATCCGCGCCAAATGGGCATTTTGTAAAGCCTACTCCTCTTTTACTGCTAGACAGAAATAGTTGAAAAAAATATATGTTATACAACAGTTCAAGGACTACATTTGTGACGTTTGAATTTTCGCTACGTCTCTTTGTTTTGGATTAAAAAAATAAATACGGGACATCGATTTTTTACTTAAATTCCCTACTCCTCCAAAACGGCTATGTTAATTTAAAAGATTTTTGCACGAATAGATTGGGAATTCTTTAATCTTTAAATGACACGTTGCGTTTTTCAATCGAACATTACTTTCATTCATAAATTTTACTTTTGATAAATTCCGAACGTTTTGCTGTTGAGGGGGCCTTCGCGGGGTGCGGGCGGCAGTCGGCCGCTGGCCTTCAGACGGGGAGGTTGTGTCACTCGCTACAAACTGACATTAGCGATCAAAATGAATTTTTTCTTTGGCTAAGTTGCACCACCTGACGTGACCTAACTTTGACCGTAGCTTTGGCGATAAAAAATTTTATCCCGTACAAAATGTTCATGGATTTTGTTATTTTTATTAAATACCTTTACGCCTGGTTAAATGACACCGACATCAAGGTTCATCAATTTAAGTTTAAAATAATAGGCAGTAATGTATGAAGAAAGAGCTTCTATTCTGTATCTACCTATGCCCGTGTATTTTTGATCGGTGTCAAATCGGAGTTTTTGGTGCGGGGTACGCGGGTGTTGCTCGCGGCGTGAAGGTCAAACGCCCAAGGTCATTGAGGACTCTAATCGCCTTAAGGTGAAGTAACGTAGAATTTGCGTCGCATGTTGTACGTTGTAAAGTTTTACATATTTTGGGAAAGTAAGTAAATCTTTACATAAAAAAAGATTTACAATTGCAGTGTCATACTTTTTAAAGACATAATTCACATAAATACTAATACCATCATACATAAAGACATGCACACAAATATTTGTATTAGACAGGGATATACACCGTGGTTTCTAGCACAGTTATGGACAGTAGGTATATCTACTACATACGAACCACCAAGCCAGCCGGGCGTCTTTACCTGTACTTCCGTAGAGGGTACTGCATAGTACGCTTGAGTTTTTAACTTGATGAATGGCGCGAATGATATGCATAAATAGAAATACCAACACATCCGCAGTAATAGAATCGGATGCATTTGAACAATAAAATAGTCAACTCCAAATCGATTCGTTTCGTCACTATGTGCCTGTGTAGGTACGAACAGCGGCACATCAAGTTTACCTTTGCGGCGTTTATGTGGATGTCATAAATAAAGTATTGTTTTGTAAAAATGTAGAGTCAGTTGTGCTTCTTCTTCTTCTTGTCGTGTTAGCCCAAAACTCCGCTACAAGAGTGGCGTTGTCAATCATTCAAACCGAAGTGAGCTGTGCTGTTTGTTTGACCGTACAAAACATGATAAGTTATTTTATTATAGAGAGCTCTATAACTGTTACATTGTCTATGATATACAGTTAAGTGATAAAATTCTAAGTTCTTAGAACTTAATTAATATAACATATTTAGCATTCAGATTATCTCAATTTACTGAAACTAACAGAACTTAGCATACTTACTCATAGTCATCTTAGTTCGTTAACAGTTATTAGCGCTGCTTAGTAGCTTAATTTATGAGTCTTTAAAGATGACTTTTGAAACTTTTTTGGATTTTATAAATTCTAACCAGTTTAAGTAAGTAACTTTAGAGCTGCTATAGCATTTGATAAGCTAATCTAACCTATAAGAACGTGTTTGATGAATCACGGCATAATACTTATTTACAGATAGTAGAGTTTATGCAATATTCCTGATTCAGACCTGAAAACGACTGTCCGAAAATAAAAAGCGAACATATCCTAGCGATATATGCTGATTTGAGGGTCAAGGGCTGATCTTGGTCTATTCTGGAGAACCAATTCCTTACACAAACAATAAAATTTAGCTTAGCTGCAGGAGTTAGCGTGAATATTAGTAAATTGATCACTTCAACACTAATAGATATTGCTAATGCTAAGACATCATAAAGGTAGCATGAAGGCGCTGGACACAGGCCGCTACCAACCGGGCAACATGGAAAGCATTGGGGGAGGCCTATGTTCAGCAGTGGGCGTCCTATGGCTGCTATGAATGCTAACAAAACTAGACTGAACTAGAGCTAGTTTATGATGAAACATCTGATCACGGTTAGTCCAGCATGATAGATCAAGTGGAGGACCAATCAAAGTACTTCTGGCAATCGTAAGTAGCTGAAGTGTCATGCTATCTAATAAACATTGTTAGTAAATAGAAGATAAGAAAACACTATCTGCACTTGTAGTTTAAAGTGCAATACTCATTTATTGGAAAATGTGGTCGTTAGATGTAAATAACATTGATTGATTGCACTGATTTAATTCTGAAAATGTTTTTATTTTAAATTTACTTTTTACCAAATATTTAGTTAATTCTCATAACAGAGTTTGGATTTTAATTTAACGAATAATAATAAAAAGAGCACTTTGAAAACATTATATTTAATGTGAAATGCCTAGATCTACTGAAAAAAATATATTTCAAAAACAAACTTATTTAAAAATTGATAATGTTTTGGACAGTTTTTAAGTGTTTGCCGCAAATCTATGCCCAAGAAGAACTGTATTTTATCTATAATTCTTATTCGTCAAAATGTTTAAATTCTTCTTTTATTAAAATATCTGAAATATTCACTTAAATATAAACTGATTCAAGTATTATTGAACCTTCGACCTTTCACTTGCTGAGTGACTATTCTCATCACTGTGCTATGGAGATATTTTTAACCTAAATTTTAAATAAACAACTTGAAAAAATCGAACTGCCTAAGGCGGGAATTGGCCGTTTTTCAATTGTCTTTAGACAGTTCAATTTTTCAAGTTGTTACCTAATTTAAAATTTAGTTTGAGAAGCGACTCTAATCGCTAAGAAATTTTAATTACTATTTATAAACATATCTTCCTATACAACGGTAGCGTTTGAAACATGTCTGTAATACAAAAATAATGACCTCCTTAACTAATTCGACTCTTATTTTTAAACATACCGGGTTTAGGCGCAGATCCTTCACTACTCTCAACCATTCTCACTGCACTTCACTTTGAACCTTCAAACTTAGACCTTAGAGGTCAACTTCCGGTGCGACAGGAAGAGACGCACGCGCACGACTGAGTCCACAACGGTGTAGCTAGCCTTATATAACTTGTAATGCACTTGAATAGCTTAGTATAGTGTGGCCATGGTTCACAAGGGATATGGGATAGCCATCTGTATGTAAAAGTTATTGGATGTAAAAAGTATTTGAAGTAGTACCTATTTTTTATGTACTTTCAAAAAGTGTTACTTTGATCAGATATTTTTATATTAATCTAGTGGAAGTGGAATTCACAATTTATTTATTTAGATTATTACGGCTACTATTTATTATCATATGGTCCAGTTTTATCAATAAAGCGTTTAAGAACAAAAAAATATGACACATGTATAGACTTACGAACAACACATTTTATTAATAAGAAAACAATTTGTGAGTATTAAATACCTAATTAAAAAGTAAAAATCTAGAAAAAAAATTCTAATGAAATCAAAAAATCTTTCAGTATAATGTGTTCTGTCCAATCACACGTCTCTCATCTTTCCAAAGGTTAAAAATAATATTGCAATCTAGCAAGTATTATTTTTTATGGTCACCCTAGTAAGCATGACGTCGGATTGTCCACTGCGAGATGAGTCTATCGCGGTAACAATAAAATTAATCAGATGTAAATTAATGTATTCAAACGTTTATTAATAATACTTCTGTTTAACTACTGTAGTTTCAATAAAGTATTAGGTTTGAGAAAAATTCTAATTTCTCCGCCCAATCATAGTAATGGTAAAACATTATTTACGCCGCCTGCGACTTCGTACGCGTCGATCCCGTTTTACTCTCTCAGGGGTTGAATTTTGCAATATTCCGTCTTACGCCCGATTCCCATATTCAATCCTTGTCCAAATCCGGATTACAACTGTCAAATTGAATTCAGTTTTAGTTTATATTTCCAAAATTTTCGATGCATTTACACTTTAATATTGTTTAAATAGTCTTATAAACAATATAAAAATGTAAAAACATCAAAAACCGCAGTTATTTTGGCCAAAAACATATTAAATTTGACAGTTGACAATCAAAATCCGTATAATTTGGATTAGGATTGAATATAGAAATCCAGCAATAGTGAGCATTATAAGAATCCCCCATGCAAAATTTGAGACTTAGGAGTCTACTTAGAAACTATAAGTGCTAGACACTTGTAGTTTTTGAGATTTCGTGATGAGTGAGTCAGTCAGTGACCTTTCGCTTTTATAGATATGGATTAATTCTTATTCTGTGTGCGCAAGCTTGTGTACTATGCCTATGCATGCAGACAACGGATATAAACATGATTGTTTGATTGACATGATCTGTCACGAAATATTTTGGGCAGACTGTGGAAGGCTCTAGTCCAGAAGTGGGTGTCAAATATCCGAAGAACGAATTTAATATGTAATTTTCATACCAACCTTGGCAGATATAGTTAAAAACTGATATTCCAAAGACCACGCAGCTAAGCGCAAGTATGAAAAAATACATTTTGATTTTTGTTTTTCACTGCCACATTCACTGCACTGTCACCGGTCCACTACGTCACTTATCACAACGTATGTAGATATTAATTATTTATTATACAAAATATTGGCAGATAAAAATTGCAAGGCCAAGGAGGTTCCATCATATACAATGGTTCCGTATCACCTAACTTGTGGTTGGCTTAAAATTTGGGGCAATTTTCTCATAATAATATGAGAAGATTTCCTCTTTCTATAGTCTTAAAATAGAATAATTCAGCTACAGTCGTTACACCTACGTACGTAGTACATACATCATCTAGATTCTATATGATCATTGGTCTATGGTTCTAACATACCTAAAATAGAAATATATAAGTATAGGTACTACGTTATGATTACAAACATTGAAAACAATGGAAGCAATTTTTTATTTCACGTTTGCGTTTTGCGTTACGCATTCAGATTCAGTGGTTACATCCTGGTCATCAAATATAATCGGCAATGGGCAGGGCATATAGTACGTAGAACTGACGGCTGATGGGGCAGCAAGGTTCTGGAGTGGAGGCCACGTACTGGAAAGCGCAGCATAGGACGTCCACCCACAAGGTGGACCGACGACCTCGTAAAGGTAGCTGGAAGGCACTGGATGCAGGCCGCCACCAACCGGCCATTGTGGAAATCATTGGGGGAGGCCTATGTTCAGCAGTGAACTTCCTATCGCTGAAATGATGATGATGAATCGGACATAAGACCTTCGGTCTAAATATTTAGCTGTTACAGTTAAACACCGTAACAGTCAGCTATAAATGTGTTAAATTATACCTATCATTTAATATTATAAATGCGGTGCGAGGATTCGATATTTTTCACTTCCGAACGCAAAACCTACTGAAAACTTTTTACAGCTTATCCAAAAAGGTAGAATAAATAGTTTTTTTAATATACGAGTAGTGTAGATAGGTACCACGTGAATCCGCGGTCAGTAACTAGTAATATAATATTTTAAACTATTATGTTGCAGTTTTTACTACAAAATCCCGTAAAGTGATAATTTTATAGTAACTAGTAATATTTTAATTATGATTTTTCCAAAAGGTCCCCAAACTAAATTATCTTTATTGTCAGTTTATCTAATCTATAATTGATTAAGACGAAATATATGACTATATTGATAACAATAGATAACAATACTGTGTATTTTATATAAAACAATTATCATAATACGTGGCCCCCTATTATGTACAGTTGCAAACACATCAAACACTAAGGCTGAGTTGCACCACCTAACTTTGATATAACAATAACCGGTGTTTTTTGTATGGAGTTTAACAGATTTTTGACGTAATTGTCAAAGTTGAAGTAAGATGGTGCAACCCCGCCTTAAACTTTAGGGAGATGTTGTTTGTTTTATTTACTGTACAGAAACAAATACCTAGATATTCTTTAGCATTTAAATATGCATAATAATCTCATAAAAGGATATGCACAAATGAAAACAAATTAAACCTTCTACAGCAGTGTCATCTCCAGTTCCTACGAAAAGTAATAAAACAGTTTGAACTTGAGTCTGAGGACTTATTAATTAATATTATATTCATATTCATTTATTGCATCCTGTTGTACAATTAGGTATAATTATTTACTTACCAATACGATTAACCATATTGCCTTGTATTTTATTGTGTTTTTTTTAAATATTCATAATACTTAAGCTAATAAGTAGGTAGTGACATTTACTTATCAGGTTATGTTACATAGTCTACCATTTCACCTTTGTTTTTTTAAATATTATTTTGGTTTTACAAAATATGAAGCTATAGTAAAAACAATTTGTAATCAGCACCGAAGTAAATTATTGTCCCGAAGCTCTACAGCTTTAAAATAAATTTAATTATTTTTAAAATAAATTAATTTCAAAAACATTTTTTCTACTTGTTTTTTGCTTTTTCCGATAACATAACATAGCATATTATGATTTAGTGCAATACTTATCACATTAAAGATTTTCCCTATAAAATAGTGTCAACTGACTATCTAGTTTCTTAGAACACTAAAAAATTCAATTGTTCACTCATCCTTTGAGCAAGTGATCATCAGGTCATCGCTCCACCTTCGAGGTCGACCTTCGAGGCATCTTCCGGTCTTCCTTTTACCACTCGAGATCCATTTTCCCTGTTGTTTGAATCTATTGCCAAACACCTTGACCGCCGTTAAAGAGTGTACTTCTAATAATTATTATCCGAAGAGATATTATTAATGCAATTAACATGCTAATACCGCTCATTAATAAGTTTTCCTTGTAATAAGAACTCTTAATATTATTATTGGCGACAATATTCCTATGGTGGTGGACTAGCCGACTTGAGATCTTCAAACCATATCGTTCGTTCATTAGTTTCAGCTAAATGACGTCACTGCTGGACAAAGGCCTCCCCCAAGGACTTACACAACGACCGGTCTTGCGTTGCCACCATCCAGGTTCTTCCCGCGATCTTCACCAGATCGTCGGTCCACATAGTGGGAGGTCTGCCCACGTTGCGTCGCGGAAGTCTAAGGCGGCCGGATACTCGCGACACCCCAACTCACCCGATGACGGAACGCCGCGGTTTTATTGGGTATACCTCGTCCTTTTCAGGACGGAGCAGCGCCCTTTTCAGGGCGCCGAAAGTCCCACACACCACCCTGTCCCCCAGCAGTGGTGAGGGTGTGCAAAGCATTTCCTCCGCGACAAAAAAGGTCTGCCCACGCTACGTCTCCCAGCCCGTGGTCGCCACTCAAGAACTTTTCTGTCCCAACGGCCATCATCTCACAAGTTATGTGCCCCGCCCACTGCCACTTAATTTTACCAATTCTGCGGGCTATATCGGTATCGGTCACTTTGGTTTCCCTGCGGATCTCCTTATTTTTGATTCGATCATGCAGGTAAACTCCGAACATAGCCCTTCAAGCCATATCCATGAAAAATAGAGTTATTTCAGGATAGTTTTCACTTTTATATGAAAAGGGGTGTCTTATTATTATAAGTATGCAAGTTGGTTTTATGTGACCAGGCAAACTCATCCAGCTTCCCGCTTTGTTGTCGTGTCATCTGTTATAATTTGAAATTCTGCCGCTATTGATTTGAATATTAACTTCCTCATATTAAGGATAACGTTACTTAAAAACATCTTTTACAACCAACCTCGAGATTGCGCTAGGACAACTGGACTATAATTTCTTCCGACTATACTCTGTTTCCATGATTTCATAATATACGTAGGCAATAAGGCATTGTCCGCAGGTTCCTCAGCCTGAGACCCTGACCACCGGTAGCTTGGGCCCTGCTCCGCTACTAGCGGAATAACTATTTTTAAGTCTTTTTTTATAATGTATTTTTATTTTTTTTGATAATTTACATTGTAAAAAAACATTTAAAATTAAGAATCAAAGTTAATAAAGAGAATAATAATAATAAATACACTTTATTGCACACCAAAGATAAGAACAGAAAGAAAAGGAACACACAAGGTACAACCTATGGTGAGGACAGTTTACTAATTGTTTTAAACAAAACATAATGTCTTGAGAAAT